TTAAGAACTGTTCTAAATTATTCTCCTTGGTGTAAAATTAATTTAAAAGAACCAGGTATTCATACTATAGATGAGTATTGTTTATATTCTTCCAAAACAGTTAATATRGTTTCACAATTCAAACAAAAGTGAAATAGAATTATTTGAATCTGAAATGATTCTAAAAAAAAGATTTAATTTGCAGTATACATTATTTTTTTTTATAAAATCTGTAAATAAAATAAAACTGCTAAATACATTTTKTTATTATTATTTTATATCCAAAATTGCAAACTGGTAGTAAAAGACAAATATAATTTATTTACAGAAGTTTAATTGTGATGAATGTGGAGTTAAATTTAAACACGTCTGTGCATTAAAAATTATATAAACAAAAAGAATAACATCAAAAATCTTAAAGAAAACACAATTGAATGCTTAAAATTTAAGGAGGCAATTATAAAATAAATACYATAAGTACTATAAATTTGAAATAAAGATTGTTTAAAGATTAGAAGTTGATATCTAAATATACGTTAAAACATATTATAAGCTTTGAAATAATTGTAATAATAAACCTATATATATATATTTTTTTATATAAAGAAATATACAATCTATACTAAGTAGCACAATAGGTATATGTGATAAGAGACTTAAAAATAACATGGTAGACGTGATTAAGAAGTCACCCACTAGTGACTCTTAGCATGAGAGGTAATTGTGAATGTTGAGGTACAAGAGATTAGAGATTAGGTGAATTTTTATTGTAATAGACCTCTGCACCATCTCCTTTTAAGGCGACGTCAAGGATTATTAGGAAACATTAAGGTATTTAAGTTACTAATGATTTGCCAAGTATGAAAAAAATCGYTTGTAAAAAATTACTGATTCTTCTTCGATTGTTTTAACATAAAAATCATTGTGTAGCGTAAGATTTGATTTTTTTGCCGCACCTTATAGTTGAAGACCGTAAGTTTAGATAGGTTTTAAGAATGTTTTGTAGATTATAAGTTTATTTTTTAGACTAGTGCATTTGTTTTTTACTAACATAGTTTTGAGTATACGAGAAACTCGTTTAATATTAATTTTATGGATCTGATGTGAGGRTTCCAAGTTAATATTTTGTTTAAGGTGAGTCCTAAATATTTCACTGTATCGGATGAAGGTATAGGAATGTTATCCACTGGAACTGGAGAGCAGAGTCCRTGTTTTTAAAGTAAAGGTGGTGTGTAATGATTTACTGTGGTTCAATTTGATTCATCATTTTGTGTACAACGATGATATGAGATTTAAATGTGTTTGAAGATTTTGTGAGGCTATTAGGGATTTTCATGGATTGAAATTACAGCTTTGTCGTCAGCGTAGTCAGGAAMAAGCATGTTTTCGATGACAGGTTGATCAGAAGCATAGATGTCGAATAATAAAGGAGATAGAATGCCACCTCGGGGTACACCTGCATTGATTAAAGCCATTTGAGAGGTAGAGGAGCTGATATGAATTTGAAAAAATTGATGAATTAGATATGATTTGATTAAAAGAAATAAGGAAGAGGGAGAAAGTTACAAAGTTTGGTAAAAGTAGGCCGTTGTGCCATACACGATCGAATGCCTGAGAAATGTCAATAAAAACACAGGAACAGTATTGTTTACATTTGAGAGAGGTTGATATAGCATCGACCAAATGGTGAACTTGCTGAATTGTGTCGTGTTTAGCTCGAAAACCAAATTGCGATGAAGGGAAAATGTTATTTGAGATAAAAACTGGGGATAACCGCTGAAGAATGAGTCTATCACAAAYTTTTGACTTTGCAAGCTCAGCTGTTATTAGGTCAAAACCAGGAGATTTCTTATTTGCGTGCTTAAGAATTATATTTTTTACTCGTTTGGTATGGCGTATTTAAGAAGAGAATCATTAGATAACGGAGAGTCTAAACATTTTATAACGTTCTCTATGTGAAGGGGGTCCCGAGTATCAGCGCGAGGTTGAAAAATATTCGATAAGTGTGTTTGAATACTTCTGCTTTTCTAAGTCACTGATAACTAATGAATTGTCAGGTTTTCTAAATGGARAATAAAGGGATTTATATTTAATAGAAGTTGTTTGGTTTCTCTCCAAAGGGAGCCATCAGAAGTAGATAGGTTGTTCAAATTTTGTTCAAAAGCATTTGCTTTATGTTTTGCAAAGTTTTTTTTARGGAGTTTGTTAGCTTGTTATACGCTGATTTGTGAGAAGACGGGAGAGGTGGTATCTTGCTCTTGCCCTACGTTTTTCAACAATTAGGCTACGGATTTCTTCCGAGACTAGAGTGTAAATAAAATTAGAGTTGTAATTTGGTCGAAGTTTTTGGTCCTAGCGGGCCTAATGGCGACACACGCAGCCGATTGAATTAGAGATGTGAAACTGTTGACGGCATCATCAATATCAAGATTGGATTTTAATTTAATTTTTAGATTAATATTTTCATTTACTAAATCATGAAATCGAATGTGATCCGTTGAATAATTTGAGTGGCTTACTACGTGCTAGTTGAGTGGCTGAGATGGAAAGGAGAACCGCAGAATGATTAGAGATTAAGTCAAGGACATTTTTAGTAGAGAAATATAAGTTGCGGGGTAATTAAGCAGCAAAAATATAGAGAATGTCCGGCTTCTTTTTGAGTCAGGTAGGYCAGTAGGTGGGTCCTAGAGGGGAGATAATATTGAAATTTTTTTTGATAGAGAAGCCTTGTACTGTGGGTTATTGACACGGCAGCCTCAGCTTTGATGTTTGGCGTTGTAATCACCACCAATAATGAAGTTGGTATTTAATTGAACCAACAAAATCGTTAAATATATCTTTGGTTATATTATGACAAAGGGTGGGGAATGGTGCTCCGATAGTGATCGGAAAATTATTCTATTTAATTAGTATGGAGCAAGATTAAATGTAATCATGACAGTATTCAGGAAGAGGTTTGAAAAGTGARGATGTTTTAATTAGATGAAATTCAAGGATATAGAAATGAGAGAACTTGGTGAAGTGAGTTTCAGTTATTAATGCAATGTCAATACGAGCGTTGTTATAAAACAGATTGAAGTTCGTTTATGTAATTTTTAAGGCCATTTGCGTTAAATTGCAAAATTAAGAGCGAAGTTTTTGTGACTGTTACTCATTTTTCCTATTTAATAGACTGGTGATTACTTTTGTAAGTAGTGATATTAATTGATTTATGAGTTTTAAATTCACTCAAGAAGCTTGTCATTAGAGTATTTATGTCAGAGACTGGTGGGGGGTGAAACTGGTATGTGTGGAGGAGCAGGTTTGGAGGGTTGGTCGGAAGCAGCTGCTGCAAAGTTAAATGCTGTGCAGGAAGGTGCAGAGCAGGGATGAGGTTTGTTGGGTGACCATCTTGTACATTTTGAGGCATAAGATTAGAATTTATATATACAGTTAAATTTTTATAGTATGTATTTGGATTCTTTCGAAGTTGCAGATTTTTGTAGACTGGGCATCCTTTGTAGCTCGCAGGATGATTTTATTGACAGCGAGGGGGTTCGTCACGTGAATTTGGGCAAGAAGATGAATGATAATCACTATCGCAGCATACGCATCGAGATAGGTAGCAACAATAAGCACTTGTGTGTCCATACTCTCGACAGTTTATACATTGAGAAATTGTTTTATGTTTATGGAGTTCTTCCACTTTTATTTTAGGGTGAAGTAAGGAAGTGTGTTGATAGATTTCGTTTGAATGAGACGTGGGYTCTACGAAAAAGAGAGGTAACAGTTTGTTGTTGAGCCCATGTAAAACTGGCGTTACTTGTCTGTCTTCGAATAAACGAGTTATTAGTTCTTCTTTTATTAAATCACAAGGCGTGATTTAAAGGTAAGTTGCGAATTACTACAMGAGTTGGTTTGTCTTTCTGTAATTGGTAGATGTGGAATTCTGCGTTTTCTTCTCTTAAGAATTTGACAAGTCTTCTGTATGACTCGGGATTTGCAGTTTGAATTTTTAATCGGTCAGTTGTAGATTTTCAGTTGAAGTTGTCAACACCAATCTGTTTAATTACTTCTGTGCACAGACCAGGGAAATCATCCACGTTTTTTCGAAAATAGGCGGGGGGGATAATGGGTTTTGTAGTTACATTTGGATCTGGCTCAGAAACAGAAGACTAAGCGACCTTAACTGGARGATTCAAGGGGGTGGGTGAATGATCCATCGAGCTGAAAACTTCAAAACGGTTTCTTGAAGAAAATAGTTTTTTTTAGTTTTAATTACGTCGTCGTTCWTTGGGAATGACGATTGACGATGAATCAGATTTTGTGTAAGACGAGTTTGAAAGAGTTCGTTTTTGTTGAGTAGTCCAAGCATTGCCTTCACCGGAATTTGGAGATGTTATATTGGGGATTTTGGTCTTGGTATTTGTATTTGAATTATTATTCAGATTTGTTTGTTTTGTGTGTTGATTTGATATTAATGATGTTTTGGTGTTGGTTTTTTTCTTGATATAAGGCAAAGTAGTAGGCATTGTGGCAGTACACTGGTGATGAGGTAATTAGAGCTCGGGCAACGACCTTGAGATAAGACGCAACAGAAGTAGTGTTGCGTAACCGTAGATTATATTAAATTATAAAATATAATATRTTAATAAGTAACTTAATAATTCAGCTGTAGGAAGCGAACATTCAGACACTTGGTGAGAATGCGTATAAATATAGCTATAAAAATAACCATATGTCAAGTTAAGGACATTTATGAATAAAGCAAATTATAATTGAAATTAATAAAAATGAGCTCGTTATAAAAATTCACCAATTGACTCGACGGTTCACAAAGCGATAACTGAGTATCGGACGACTGCCACTAAGGAACTAAACCTATATTAATAAATATCTCACAATATATTTTTATGCACTTGTTCATGGACACTGAAGGGTATTTAAAGCAGAAGCAGAAGCATAAGAAAAAGATTGATCATGAATCAAATTTTAATGGCTTCATTTTGTATGTATCAATGTATGCTTTTTTAAATTTGATGATGAACAAAAATGTCTATCACAGAAATCACATTTATACCGATTTTCTCCTGTATGTATTCTTTTATGGATGTTTAGATGTGATAATATTGAAAAATTTTTATCACAGAAATCACATTTATACGGTTTTTCTCCAGTATGTATCCTTGTATGCTTTGTTAAATCGGAAGAAGTATAAAACCCTTTATCACAGGTAACACATTTATACGGTTTTTCTCCGGTATGTGTCCTTGTATGCTTTGTTAAATTGGAATTAGTAAAAAACCCTTTGTCACAGAAATCACATTTATATGGCTTTTCCCCGGTATGTTTCCTTTTATGGTCATTTAAATGCGATGATATAGAAAAACATTTATCACAGACATCACATTTATACGGTTTTTCCCCGGAATGTGTCCTTATATGCTTTGTTAAATCGGAAGTAGAAGAAACCCTTTTATCACAGAAATCACATTTATAAGGCTTTTCTCCAGTATGTATCCTTTTATGAATTTTTAAATGTGATGATATGGAAAACCTTTTATCACAGGTATCACATTTATAAGGTTTTACTCCAGTATGTGAACTTTCATGAATTTTAAAATAAGCTTTTGTAGAAAATCCTTTGTCACAGACATTACATATATACGGCTTTTCTCCGGTATTTATCGTTGAATGATTCGTTAAATTGGATGCTTTAGATCTTTTGTCACAAATATCAGTCAAAGGCTTTTCTTTTAAGTTTGATGTCTTGCTCAAATTCAGACAATTAATGATTTCTGGAGAATTTTTTTCTCTATACACTGTTCCTATAAATTCATTACCATCAATAATGTCTATTTCAGTTTTTATTTCGGTRTCTAATGTTTCTTTATACACTGTTCCTATAAATTCATTAGCATCAATAATGTCTATTTCAGTATCCAATGTTTCTCTAT